GATCACGTTTAGAAATTAAATTTATTTTGTTGATGTAAAAAGTCAATCACAATCAAAGTGATTATGATTATATCAATAATAACAATTTAAAAGAAAGTTGAAAATAATTTCTAATCGAGTTAATCAAAACAACAATGAAATTGATAATTTGCAAGAACAACAATTAAAGAAAATTAATGCGATAAAGAGACACAAAGATTTATTTAGGAAATTCCCTAATCAGAATTGCTATGAGTACGTCTGCCCTCATCGTCTCATGCTACTCTCTTGCGAGGAAACCAACTTTTCCCAAGGCCTTCACTCGGTCGAATCTGTGTTGACGTGATTTTGTCCAAAACCTTCAAATCACACCGATTTTGAAGGAAAAACCCACCTTGGTTTTCTTATTTGAAACATACAAAGTTTTCAACCTTATATTCTCGGTTACACAAAACCAAATTGGATGTTATCAATCCTAATCTAGATGGTCACCCAATTGAAAAATGATTATGTGTAGTTCAATTTTGTGTATGCATAGAAGAAGGGATAAAGATAATGGGCAACTTTGTAATCTAGTTTTGTTAAGGTTTTTACTCTCTAGAAAACCCTTGAAACTAGAAGAAGGTGCATGTGTGTGTGTGTGTGTGTGTGTGTGTGTGTGTGTGTGTGTGTATGTGGGTGTGTGTGTGTATATATGTATGTGTGTGTGTGTGTGTGTTAAAATGCACAAAGAGAATGCAAAAAAAGTTTCAAGTTTGAAGTTGCATAGGTTGGCATATGAAGGTGTTTAGGCCGGCCTGTAAGGCGACCTAAGAGTCGACCTGTGGGCAGAGCCTAGAGGCTTCGTTCTTGGAGCGTCGGAACCGAACTGTAACTTGGATTTCTCGACCTGTACTGAAGCTAAGACTTCCATAGGTCGATCTGAACTTGTATAGATCGGTATGTGTTGTTATGTTGACACACAAAACTTGGTTTTTATGTGTATGACATGCCTAAGACATATCGAACTAGTTCAAAGACTATTTTTATGCATCCTAAGGGTAAAATGACATATGCACATCTAAATTTAGGTTGACACCGTCCAATATACATAAGCGCTACAATATACTACCTTGTTTGACATCATTCAAAACCCGATTTATTTTGTAGATTGCACTCATATACTCCCCTTTTTTGATGATGACAAACGTAAATGATGTAGGCGTAGCCTGTTGCGTTTTTCTTCGGTACATGGAATAACTCCCCCTGAATTTGTGCATTATCCTTGATATATCCCCCTAAAGTTATGCATTATCCTCTTCATTTTCTTCTCCCCCTTTGACAACATCAAAAAGAAGAGATCAATCCGTTAGAAGTATCACGTAGATGCACAGTTCACATATATCATATACTACACAGATGCAATTGCAAAGAAAAGAATGTGCACTCACATAAAGTAACTATGTAAAAAACACAAGCTTAATAAAGAAAAACAACAGTATTCATAAGAGCAACAAATGTAGCAACTTGATTTGTTTTTCATACAAACCAAAAAGCAACAAGCAAAACATTATAACATAGAAAATGCAATAAATGAACCTCAAAATAACACAAGCCAAAAGACAACAACCACAGAAAAAACACGACAACTAGACATTCTCAGCACCAATCAATTCCTTCTGCGTCCTCTCGATCTTGGTCTTGCATTGAATGTGCCAAATTCACACAACTCGCAGTAGAAGCGTTCGTAATGATATCTATCTGTTTCTTGAGTCTGAATGATGTAGTTCAACCTGTACATCTCAACAACATGATTTTCATTAACATTGTTATGAATGGACATGATGCTTTTCATCGTATACACAGCAAATGATTAAAAATCAGCGTCTTGGGTGGCCGTGTGCTTCTGCATTAGAAGGAACTGATCCGTCTTAGCGGCATACCTCTCATCTTGTTGCACCTGCATGCTTTGCAGCATAGTAATAATAGCAGCAGTGTCACTAGGACCAGCATAAAAACCACCATTATAACCAATTCTCTGATCTGCATCTTGCTCAGTAGCATCACCATCTGGAGAACCATGAGGCATTTTAACAGGATGCTCGTTATTCATGTGATTCACTTTAGCCTCATCGTCATCAAAGTTAAAATTCTTCCTTCTATTCTTGCGAAGATAGTATGCTCGATGGTTAATATCTCAAAAGTAGCTCATGTTTGTAAAAGTACGTTGAGAGAAATTTTGTAATGTACTTGGTGATTTGCAGACAAGCCTTTCCAGACCAATGTTGAAATGTTTCAAAATATTTGCAATCGTGGATGGATAGCATAAAGATATACCTTTGTTGCATGCTCTAGCAGAAAACATGTGATAGACGAAGTAATATGGCCAACTAATTTTGACATTGTGCAACAAGACATACACCAAATGAATTTCAAGAAAATCAACTCTTGAGAAACCACCATTTTTCGAACGCAAGACATGTGACACAATCCAAAGTAGAACTTGAGGCAGCATCTTCAATTGTCCCATGGAGATGGGACCATAACAGTTTGAAGGGCGGGGAGCCTAAAGCATCTTGTTCAAGTGAACATTCCAATCGAAATCCTTGTGCCTATCAGAGTCGGTTACCACTTCATCGGTTACTTCTTCATCAAATTCCCCATTAATATCTAGATAACTAACATCAATGTCAAATAAAGTACTCCCCGTCTCATTTGTGAAATGATACACTTTGTTGCCAATAGAAAATTTAAAGCTTGCACCCTTTTGGTCGTACAGTCCTAAATAAAACACACAGATGAGATCCTGATTGTAGTCTTGAGCTAACTGCAGGAATTTATCAATGTTTTGATGCTCAACACGATTCATAACTTCGGGAAGAGCCAACCATTCAATAGTCTTCTTCTTCCACATGTATTTATTGAGGACTAGGTGAGTCATGTGCTTAAACTCAAAGTCCTTCTCATATTTCTTCGAAACTAACAAAAATGGATTCTCAGAGGCTGGAGAAGATGAGGAAGCCTTGTCTTTTCCTTTGGATACACTCTTGGACTTGGAAGCCATTAGATTGGTGAGATACAATGTGTACACAAGGTGTTTGTGAAAATGCTTAAATGAAAAATATGAGAGAATAAGAGACTCAATAGTACCCACACACTTCAAGACAAGCAATAGAAACAAATCAACACAAATATACAACAACAAACACAAGACAATAGAAAATTTCAATTTCTTTAATGATATGGGGTGAGTTATGGGGTTTTGAGAAAAATGGGAAAAATGATGGATTCCTGAAAGATCAGACAAAGATTTGAGGACCAATGAGGAATTTATGATGTTAGATTGAAATCAAATCTTGATCAAGTGACCAACAATGCGGCTATAATCCTCCGATTATCCCGAGCACGCAACTTGTTGAAACCCAAGATTCCCGAACACAACTCACCGTCTCGCGCTACTCCCTGACAAGGAAACCACCTTGTCCCAAGGTCTTCATTCGGTCAGAACTGTGTCGATGTGATCTTTTCCAAAACCTTCAAATCACTTTGATCTTGAAGGAAAAACCCACGTTGATTTTCTTATTTGAAACACACAATGTTCCCAACCTAATATTCTCGGTTACACAAGACCTAATTGAATGTTATCAACCCTAATCTATATGGTTACCCAATCGAAAAATGATTATGTATAGTTCAATTATGTGTATGAATAGAAGAAAAGATGATGATGATGGGCAACTCTGTAATCTAGTTTCATTTAAGTTTTTACTTTTTAGATAACCCTTGAAACCAGAAGAAAATTCATATATATATATATATATATATATATATATATATATATATATATATATATATATATATATATATATATATATATATATATATATATATATATATATATATATATATATATATATATATATATATATATATATATATATATATATATATATATATATATATATATATATATATATATATATATATATATATATATATATATATATATATATATATATATATATATATATATATATATATATATATATATATATATATATATATATATATATATATATATATATATATATATATATATATATATATATATATATATATATATATATATATATATATATATATATATATATATATATATATATATATATATATATATATATATATATATATATATATATATATATATATATATATATATATATATATATATATGGCCTTGTCTTTTGCTTTTTGTAATTTGCACCGGCTGTAATACTTACGTGGTCATCTTTCATCTTTCATGTTCTGAATCTCATTCCACATACAATGAAAATCAAAATGTTATTCACATTGAAGACAATCATGTCTACATTAAAGAATAAAGTATTTCGAAATTCACTGTCGTTTTGGGAGAGAAAATTCAACAAGGGACATTCAAGTCGTTACTCGTGTCTATCAACTCTCAACTAGCCATCTTCTTCACCAAAATGACTAGTGTATATGTTCTGTTTTTTTTGGGTACATTAAACACCGTCCACAATTTATTAGATACCATATACCACCAAACCAAAATACCAAACTAGATTATCACTACTACCAAAACACGCTAATTTAAATACCTCATAATTAATAAATTAAAGAAGCCGGTTATTATTTAATTGAATCCACTACAAAATAATTTATTATTTTTTAATTATAAACCGAGACTTTCCTCTCTGGCTTTCTCCATGCCTATTCAGAGAGTAATGGGCTAGCCTCCATAGAATAAACAAATATATATATTTTCATTATAAAGTCAAATAACTATTTTCCCTAAAAGCACAGGATTTTATATTTTGATTGTTGACCCCTAAATCACCCTTTCCCACGTCCTTATAAGACAACTAGAAAAAACCTACAAACCTAATCACACCCTTATATATATTTATTTAAGGTATTCAAAAGCATAGTCCATCAATATTATTCTCTACTTTTTGCTTTCACAATAATAAAGTCATAAACTTACAGTATTGTGTTTGTGATAAAAATTGAAGGTGCAAATTATGGCTACTTCTATGTCTTCATTCTTATCTATGAAACCTATGAAACCAAGAGAAACATATCTCAAGAGATTCAACATGCGTCGAGGGATGCAAGTAATAAAAGTACAAAACTATCATCAAGAGGAAGGTGATAATCATAATTTTCACAATATATTAATATTTTCAAGTGTTGTTTTTTCTTTATATGTATATTTAGGATCAATATATCTTAATCTTACTAACTAACTAATCATGATCATAGGGAGATCAACGGATATGGTAGATGGAAATTTGAATGTTCTAAAGGAGAGGATAGAGACGGTGAAGGTGAAGGAAAGACTTGAAAGGTGTTGTAAGTCTCAACATGGTTGGAATTATGTTCCAGTTTCTATTAGTGATCATCAAAAAGACAAAAGAGACAGAGAATTGAGAAGCTTAATTGAGTTGATTGGTTTAGTTTGTGGAACTATTGGTTTTACCTCTTTTCTTGGAACTCTTTTCCTTTGCCTTGTTTCATTGATTGTTCATTTGCAAGTATGAATTTTTAAAAATGTATATTTGATTAGGTTGTGTGTGTTTAGCCGTTGGTGAATATAATTAATTTCTTTTCTTAGATATGGTATTTAGAGGTGTCTTCATGGTGTTATATATGTAAATTCTATGCAAATTTTCGAATATATGACATTCCATTTTATTTAAAATGAATTAAATAAAATTGCAATTTAAAATAAAAATTGATCTTCATTCAAAAGTTTAAGCAAAAATTAATTGTTTTTAAAGTTGTAAAAAGTTTTATATATATATATATATATATATATATATATATATATATATATATATATATATATATATATATATATATATATATATATATATATATATATATATATATATATATATATATATATATATATGAGTCAAGGAGAGTCTAAAATAATTGGTTTAGCTGTTTGTTATGTATGTATCTGTTAGTTTTTGTCTCCAAACAATCTCCTATTTATATGGCCCGGTTCCTTCATTATCCCCTCCTCTTTGTTCTTTCATGATCCTTCATAAATACGGTCTTAGGTAAAGTCTACCGCTGCTATAATTGTAATACTTTTCTACCCCAAAGAACATTCACGATAAATATAAGCAATTATATCAGAGTACAAGGAAATTATCGGGACGAGTCGCGTACTAGGTCGCTTTCTTTAAGACGTTTCGCCGTACTGCCAAAATATGCAAAGCAGTCGATTTACGACGACGCCTCCAGGATAAAACAGCCCGTTCAAAATTACGATTATCAGTTGCACACTGATAAATCGCTATAGAAATACACCTTTCTAAATTATCTGGCGAAAATAGCCAGTCCAGTATCTGGCTGTAATAGCCAGTCGAAAAAACCAAGAAGAGAAAATTGTTTAGATGAAGAGAATTAAGGGAGAGAGAGGGAAATCAAAATTCGTGTGAATTTGTGAAATCCGGAGTACTCACTACTGAATTTTTACCCTTTATTTATAGGTAGCTAGTGAGGCTGATATTTCCATTCCTCCAATGTGGGACTAAAATGAATCTTGTCAAATTCACTTTTCAATTCCCATTAATATAATTCCAACATCCAATGTGGGACTAAAATGAATCTTTTCAAATTCACTTTTCAATTTCTATTACTATAATTATTATAGTTCCAACAATCCCCCACTTGAATTTAAAGGAAATTTTAGAAGTCCGTCAAACGTTTCTAAGATTGTGCATAAGCAAAGGTGTCTACGACTTGAACCTTAGCGTAGCGAGTAGGATTCTGATTCAACAAGAGTGGCACTATTGTCTTGAACTCTATCTCGGACATCAGACCCGCACACAACCTTTTCGTAAGGTGTATTCTTATAGCCTGTGCTTTAGTGGCCTTGCACGTGTATCCCGGTTTAGTGAATACTCTAGGAATTTGCCTCGAAATTCCATAGGAACCGGCCTCAGTTCCACAGTCACATAGGTGAATCTATCAAGAGTACTCCTGTAGCCTAGGTACTCCCTCATACAGAGAATAGATATCATTAAGAGTTTCTATTATCTCATCCTGTCATTACTTCAGGATTCATGCTTTACTTGCATGATCATTTTCATATTACTCACAACTTGTTATTACCCATTGAACCTAAGTCTTGGGATCTCCAGTCATTTAGGTCGGGTTACCATCATGAGTAACTAATTGCTTCATAGGCATTAGTCCCATCTTTTTGGATGTATTATGGACTTTCTCTCTAGCTAATCCTTTCGTCAAAGGATCTGCTAAGTTCTCATCAGTGCGTACATGATCCACTCTCACAGCTCCTTTAGATATACAATCTCTAACAGTGCTATGTTTTCTTCTAATTTGACGTCTTTTACCATTATAGTAACGGTTCTCAACTTTTGCAATAGTCGCGGTACTATCGCAGTGGATCAACACAGCTGGTATAGGTTTTTCCCATAAAGGGATCTCAGCTAGCAAGCATCTTAACCAACTTGCTTCTTCACTAGTTGTAGCTAATGCTATCATCTCAGACTCCATTGTGGACTGTGCCAGAATGGTCTGTTTCTTTGATTTCCAAGATACAGCTCCTCCGGCTATACTAAATATATAACCACTAGTAGCTTTAGAGTCATCCGATAAGGTGTTCCAATCTGCATCACTATACCCTTCTAGTACAGCAGGAAATTTCTGATAGTGTAGGCCGAGGTTCATAGTCCTTTTAAGGTACCTCATTACTCGCTCAATAGCTTGTCAATGTTCGTTACTCGGCCTACTTGTAAATCTGCACAACAATCCTACGACATATGCAGTTCTGTAGCTACTGTAGTAGTCGTACAGATCATCAGCAAGGTTGTTTAGTGATTGTTCAAAAAAGAAGAAAAATCAAGAAACTGATGCAAAGCTGGCGAAAGATGAAGAATAAGAGATGTTGATGGTCACAACAAGAGACACAGAAAGATTCCAAGACCAGCGGTACTTGGACTCAGGATGCTCATCACACATGACTAGAAGGAAAGATTGGTTTGTCAACATGAAGCCCTCGTCGAAGAACACGGTGAAGTTTGCAAATGACAACACTCTAGTAGCTGAAGGTGTTGGTGATGTTTAGATCATGAGGAAGGATGGCAAGAAATCAATAATTTCCAATGTGTTATACATACCAGGCATGAAAAGTGACCTGCTCAGTATGGGACAGCTTGTCGAAAAGAATTACAAGGTAGTTGTCAAAGACAAGATGATGCGAGTTCTCGACGCAGGTGGTAGGTTGATCTTGAAGGCTCCAATGTCTCAGAATAGGACCTTCAAGATTAAACTCAATGTGGTGGAGCACAAGTGCTTAGCAACTGCAACCAGCAGAGATGGGTGGTTATGGCATTTTCGACTAAGACATCTCAACTTCAATAACATCAGAGAAGAAATATGGCTTCAGGATTACTTAAAATCGACATTTCAAGTGAAGAGTGTGTTTAGTCAGAACAACACAAGAATAACTTCAGCAAGGATGCAGGAATGAAGTCGAAGGCAATTTTGGAAGTCATATACTCTGATGTATGTGGTTCAATCCAAGTGGATTTGATTGCAGACAATAGGTACTTTGTCACATTCATAGATGATTACAGTCGAAAGTTGTGAACTTACCTCATCAAGAAGAAAAGTGATGTGATCGAGGTATTTTCTAGATTCAAATCTATGGTCTAAAGACACAGTGGTCAAAAGTTGAAAATTCTGAGGACTAATGGTGGTGGAGAGTATGTGTCGAAAGAGTTCGATGCATTATGTGAAAAAGAAGGGATTGTGCATGAGGTGGTGCCACCCTACACTCCACAGCAAAATGGAATTTCAGAAAGAAAGAACAGAACCATCATGAACATGGTGAGAAGTATGTTGAATGGAAAGCATTTACCCAAAGAATTATAGGGAGAAGCGGTTTCGACAGCAAAATACATATTAAACAGATGTCCGACAAAAAAGCTTGAAGTAATCACACCAGAAGAATGTTGGTCTGATGTAAAGCCTAGCATCAGTCACTTTAAGGTGTTTGGATCTATAGCACATAAACATGTGCCAAATCAGTTGAGAAGGAAGCTTGATGACAAGTCCATTCAATTGATCCTAATATGATATCATTTGACTGGAGGATATAAGTTATTCGACCTAGTGAATAAGTAGGTAGTGATCATCAGGGACGTGATCATAGATGAGCTTAAAGAATGGGATTGGACTAAGAATGTCAAGAAGGATTCAGTGAGAATCTCTTGTGAACAACCAGTCACTGAAGTCAAAAGAGAAGTTCGACAGAAACAAGTCAGAGATGAAGCATGCCCAAGCAGACCTTGACGAACAAGACACATTCCTGCAAGGTTGCAAGAATGTGTTATTACATCATATGATGTGGTCGATGAAGAGGGTGAGTTGGTGCATTATGTTATTCTACGCAGATGTCGAACCAATCAATGCAAGTGAGGCATTAAAAGATTCTAACTGGGTGAAAGCAATGAATGAGGAGTTAGAGTCCATCGAAGTCAACAACACTTGGTCACTTGTCGAATTGCATCAAGGCAAGAAGGCAATTGATGTGAAATGGGTTTACAAGGTGAAGGTGAATCCTAAAGGTGAAGTAACTCGACACAAGGCGAGACTTATGGCGAAAGGATTTCTTCACAAGGAAGGAATTGACTTCGACGAAGTGTTTACACCTATTGCTAGGATCGAAACAATTAGGTTGGTTGTTAGTCTAGCAAATATGAACAATTGGCACACATGTCAGATGGACGTGAAGTGCGCATTTCTTAATGGCCCCTTAGACGAAGAAGTTTATGTCGCACAACCAGCTGGGTATGCGAAATGAGACGAAGAAAGAAAGGTGTACAAGTTGCATAAAGCCCTGTATGGACTTAAGCAATCTTCAAGAGCTTGGAATATGAAGATCGACAGCATGTCAGCTATCAACTTGGCGAAAAATCCAATAGCACACGGTCGAAGCAAGCACATCGAAATAAGGTTCTATTATCTTTGAGAACATGTAGCAGAAAGGAAGATGGACTTGGAACATTGTAGAACTAAGAATTAGATTGCAGACATCATGACGAAGGGAGTGTCAGTCAAAGTGTTCAAGAAGCTAAGGTCTATGATAAATGTAGATAGTTTAGACACAATGAATTAGGTGGTGTGTTAAATATGTAATTCATTGTTTTAGAACGATTAGATTTGATTTACAAAGATTAGATTAGATATTTTTGGGATTTTATAGTTTGCGCTTTAGCTTGAAATGCAAGTTAACCTAAATCTATAAATAGGGAGGAACCCTTATCATTGTAATAATCAAATTTGATAATCACGGTTTTACAGTTGTAAAGTGATAATAAAGTTACCTAGTTGTGGGCAGAGAGTTACTCTGCAGTTCATACTCATCTTCTTTAAACATGTTCTTGTTTGCGTTCATTGTCATTACATAACAATCTTGAGATTAAAATTGAGAAGAATTCACCAAAGATCGTGGTTGAATTCTAACAAATATGTGACTTAGGTTAGTAGCTTAGGTTTA